CCCTATATTAATGAATTAATTAATAGGTTCTATCTGATTATTCCTATAAATTATTAGTAAATTAAATAATTTTCCCCATTACATAGAATCTAAATAATGATTCAATTTGTATATCAATTAGATATCGATATGATAAATATAAACACATAAAAATAGATGCTATGCTATACATATTTCTCCTTCTATATTATATCAAATTAATATATAGATAATATTAAATTATTATTTAATTCAAGAAAAGCAAATTATTCATACTGAATATCTAATATTAATGTTTATATTATGTAAATTCTCTATATTTATTTGCATTAATTAAAAATGAAATTCTATTTTATCTTCATTATAATAATGTTTTGTTAATTAATATTGAATTAAAGTTTATAGATTAGTGATATTATATTTAACTAGAAGTTTTCTTTTCTCTTATCTTTAATGTTCTCAATAGATTGGATTTCTATCTAAAATTATATCACATATAAATTAATTTCTGACTATTGCTTCTTAATTAAAGATTTTGATTCTTATTAATATGAAATATTGAATGATCTATTTCATAATAGATTTTAAGCTATATAATCTTTCAAAGATTTATCTACAATTGCCCTATTAATTTGTGCAAAATTATAATTCAATTTATTACATGTTATATGTTTAGGTGTGACAAGTATATAACAACCTTATAATTATGTATTTTGGAATGGAGCATTAAAGAGTGTATTATCAAAAATGAATTTTCAAACCATTTCTAAGATTTATAAAGGATTATGAAAAAAGATGAACTACTTAATTTAATCAAAGCTTATCCCAAAATATTTATTAATGAGCATGCATCTGACAAATTGGGAGAATATTTAGAGTAAATTTTAGGAAAAGAATTAACAACAAAATATGCTGAGATTGTATTTTATGGATTATTTGGGGAATCTGTATATAAGTTTATCAAAGAATTTGTGTATCTCTAAAGTTGATATAGCTTAGTATGATGAAATTTAATTAACAAATAAATGAATATATGATGTTGAATTTGAATTTGAATAAATGAGAAAAAAGATATTAAATAAAGGTATCAAATCAAATTTGATATTTAAAGCAAATAGTTATAGATTTGCTTATGGATTAGATTCATTACTAAAGAGAATATTAGGATATTTGTAAGATAATTCTAATGAAAAAGATTTAGAAATCCAATTGAATACAAAGGGAAAGGAAATAGATATTGAATAAAGATAAATTATAATTGAAAATGAAAATAAAGAGTTAAAGAGAATTGAATATGTTTACTTATTCTTAAATGTTTACAAAAAATAATAAATCGGCATATTAATTGAATAAGACTTAGAAAAATTTGTTTCAAAAGTATAAAATGAATTGATAATCCAACCAACCAACAGAAGGACCATAAACTAATTTCTATTGTTTTAAAGAGTCAGGAGGTAAAATTGGGAGACATTCAAGCAATTAAATTTTAATATTGGAGGAGAGCATTTAGTATATTTCATGCAGAAGTAATATATTAAAATGAAGAAGTATTTATATCTTATTTAACTTAGTTTTATATAAACGATATAGGATCTACAACAGGTATTTTCATTACAGTTGAAACAAATAATAATTGTAAATTGGAATGGTTGTTGAATTAGGTAGCAATTAATTTGAAATTTAATAAGCGAATAGAAATGGTTCTAATATAGATGTAAATATTATCAATAAATAATTAGGTAATATGATAATTATTGAAGGACAAATACTCCTGAAAAACATGTTATCAATTTAACACCTCAAAAGAGTGTGACAACTGTTGGCAGACAATAGACTGCTAATCTTACATTTAGTGAAGATCATCATCTTTCTAATATCCATGCTAAAATTTGTTTAATTGATGGTAGAGTTTATTTGGAAGATATGGGGTCAAAATTTATATCTTGGTTAAGATTATCAAGAGAAGGTTAACCTTCATAGTTATATCCATTATCAAATTAAACAGTTTTAAAAATTGGAACTACATCTACTTATTTATGTAAAAGAAATACATAGTTGGTTGTTGAAATTGTTATAAACTATAATTTTTATATTATTTATTAATGTTTATTAAATTTAATATATATAGAAAGACAATTTAAAATGTATCGTAATATACATCACCTGTATAGATCATGAAAATAGTTGTATAATCTGCATTGAAAATGATTGTGATGCATTATATATGTATTTTTATTTATTTAATAAGATATTGTTAATTTAATTTATAAATAGCAATATATAAATTATTGGATAGATTCACTTTTTTAGATTAATATCTTAATATTTAAAACTCATATATTTATAATGACTATATAATTCAAATTTATAAAAAATAAAATATATCAAAAATAATCTAAAAATGATTCATTTTATATTTATACTATAATAATTTAAGAATATTAAAGATTGGTAATTTGATATGAAACTATATTTATTTTTACTTAATAAATAATTTTCCATAATTACTAAAGGAATCCTAATATAGCTGTAAGGTGTCGTTTTAATAATTCATTTTAGTTTAGAGAATTGATTTGTTCTATCAAGGAATGATTATTTATTTGTTACTGATAATAATTTAAATTCAAATGAGACTTTAATGCCTCATTGAATTATGATTGAGATCTAATGAATAATAAAAGAGAAATTGAAATTTTTAGACATAGAGTAGTTTGTCCAAAACGCAATCACTCATTTCATACT